GAATACAACACACTTTCTGCTATTTCTTTGGAGAGTGAGTTGAGAAGCCAAGAAAGAACCATATCATTGCAACGTGCCCAAGCTCTTTGAAGACCAGAATCAGCAGCAGGAACAACTAGGGTTCCATCAATGAACCCTAGCTTGTTCTTAGCAGACAGAGCTATCACTACTGCTCTTCTCTAACCTCCATAACCTCTGCCATCAAAACTAGAAGAAACAAGGCCCATACCAGGATAATCTGAAGGATGGAGGTAATAAGGATGTGCTGAATCAACAGCACCAGAAACAGCAGATCCTGCAGCTATAGAAGCTCCAGTAGATGGAGTAGATGAACTCAACAAATCGCTGGGTTGACTTTCAGTCGCGATTGTAATGAGGAAGAAAGAAAAGGAAAATGATGTAGTGTGAATCTAAACCAGATCAAACCTGCTCTGATACCATGATGAAATAGAAGAACAATTTTGAAGAATTTTTCCTTTTCTGTATATTCATCTGATCTTTTACTGTACAAGGACTGTGTATAAATACAAAAGAAAAAAGAATCTGTGCATAACTAACTATCCTATGTGTCCTTATTGTATTGGCTAGTCTATAACAAACAAATAATAAAATTTACAACTGTTGTCTTTCTTCTATTCCCTTCTATTCTCTTCTATTGGGCTTGATATTGGGCAGATGGATAACAAGGCCCAAAAGACTGAAATGAACTAAGTTGAGAAGGCCCAATGTTGAGCAGCCCATATCTGGAACAGAGGCGAACAAAACAAAGCAAAGTTGTTGTCTTTTACAAACAACCTAAATTATATCAAACCCTATACTCAACTCAAACTCTTTTCCTCATTAAACACCATAGACGAATCTGAGATTCCTTCATCTCCAACAGTTTCAGGTATTCTTCGTTGATGCATATGAGTAATTTAGTGCCAATTTTTTTTTTTGTTCGTCTAAATTTTATTTTCAAGTGAATAGTTCTTTTAGAGATAAAAACCTCATTTTTGTGTCTTCACTCTTGTTGTATAGAGATAGACAGTGAACACTTTTGTCCCTATTCTTGAGATTCAACCTCCTCTTATATTTTGCATTAGTTTGAAACTAATGTCCGGTAGAAATCAGGTTCATCAAACAATGCATACCATAATGATCATTCAACTTTCTTGTACATTTTTTTTGAAAGAACAAAAAAGAAATCTCACCTGAATGTATAATTAGACTTTGTTCCATTATTCATAATTTTAGGTCCTGTTTCTTTTCCCTTTCAAATATGAAGAAGTACGACATCTACTTTCTTTTGCTTTTGTACCATTTCATGATGGATTTATTTATGGAATTTTTTTTTAAATCTATGCATTGATTACTTGCTTGGATCATTCATGAATATTCATGCACTTCTTTTGTGTACAAATGAACAGATCCTCACTCTTGAATATCCATAGCTTTTGCTTGCCTTTGGAAAGTTAGTAGATATATGCTGTTGTTTATGCTTTAAAAATTAAGGCTCTATGGTTGCTTTATCAAGTTGATTAGGAATTGCCAGTAGTCTCTTTTCTTGGTATATGCATACTTCCGGAGAAAGTAAAATAAAAGACTCTACTGCCAATGATTAATGAACTATGATTTCAAAATTGTGTGTGAAAATTTACTGAAACTCCTTTTTTTTAACTCGGTATGCTCCTCTTTTCATCCATGTGTTTCTTGCTATAATCCAAAGTGGAACTTGTCTTTCAACCTTGTCTGGCGGAAACCATCGCACCGTCTAAGCTAAAAGCTTTATTTTCTCCATGCGAAGACCATTGCAACATCTAAGCTGGAGGATTTGTTTTGTCTGAGGCGAAGGCCATTACACCGTCTAAGGCAAAGATTTTATTTTATCTGAAGCGAAGACCATTACACCATTTTATCTGAGGCATGGACCATTACACCGTCTAAGCCAAAGATTTTACTTTATCTTAGGCAAAGATCATTACACCGTCTAAGCCAAAGATTTATTGTCTGAAGCGAAGATCATTACACCGTCTGAGCTAAAGACTTCATTTTATTTGAAAACTTACTTTCTTTATCTATGGCAAGGACCATTACCCCGCCTAAGCCAAAGATTTTATTTTATCTGAGTCAAAGACCATTACATCGCCTGGGGTCAAAGATTTATTTTGTCTGAAGCGAAGACCATTACACCGTCTGAGCTAAAGACTTCATTTTATTTGACGCGGAGACCATTACACCGTCTAAGCTAATGACTTCATCTTGTTTGAAGATTTAACTTCATTTTATTTGAGGCATAGACCATTACACTGTCTGGGCCAAAGATTTATTTTGTCTGAAGCGAAGACCATAGTCAAAGCTAATGAGTTATCTTGTGTGAAGATTTAACTTCATTTTATCTGAGGCATAGACATTACACTGTCTAAGCCAAAGACTTCACTTTATTTGAAAACTTGACTTTCTTTATCTATGGCAAAGACCATTACACCGTCCAAGCAAAAGACTTTGCCTTTTCCACACTTGGTAGGATTAGTCTTGATATATGACACATTATATTATGAACTTAAGGCCATGAATATCGCATTTCTAAGTTAAGTGCTAATAAACACTTTTCTCTCTTTTTGTAGTCTAAACATGGTTTACTTCAAAGACTCAAGAATTTCTTCCTCTAATTCACAATGCTTTATTATTTCGGACCATAAGGGAAGCGAGGAGGGGACAAGGTTACCAGTTGATAGGTCACTAATCGGCCAATATGTTGCAGCTTCATGGGTACCTTTGTGGGACCCACCTTATTTGGCAGACTGGACGCTTGAATACAATATCGTCCTCCCAAGACATCGATGCTTTGCACCACTACTCATCATGCTTGGGATGTCGCGAGTACTTTACCATGCCTAGGGCGTCGAACTTTTAACAAGGAAACTTACTGGGGCAATGATTTGCCGTTCGGTGGTGAATTTCATTACGTTCCTGGCTACTGGGAATGGGCAGAAGACGTCTTAAGTAGGTGTCGCTCGTCACTGGAGGGTGCAAGAATTTATGACGCCGTATATACTTCACGCTTCACATATGACCGTAATACGAATATTATGCAGGCTTTCTGTGAGGCATGGTGCCATGTTACCAACACATTGCTTACCTCTGCTGGAGAACTATCCATATCACTTTGGGATTTGTATAAGATCGGTGGTTTGCCTATAACAGGATCTCATTACGAGGAAGTTGTGCCAAATGTCGAAGAGCTTACAGACACGTACGACAAGGGGAGAAGGTTTCTTCCCCAGACTTGTGAGCATTTGTTTGATGCCTTCCATCGGCTCCGAGAGGGAGGTAGCAACGATCCAAAGGTTTCTGCAAAAAAATGGGTAGAGTTCTGGTGCAGGAAGACAATGAAGTATACTCAGCCTCCTTTAATGAAATAAAAGAAGTCTGCTCGTTTGAAATCGACGCACAATCCTACCGGGGTCATAGAGGAAGCAGTTAATTGGTGGACTGTTGAAGAAGATTTATTCCATAAGCTAGGAGTATTGGATGACAAGAAAGACGAGACTACTTGGCTGCTTTTCTATCTTGTTGGTTATGTATTTTTGTGCTCCCTTCAAAAGATGGTGACTTCATTCGTCCTGGGACCTTTAAGATCGCGTGTCATCTTGCTTGTAAACGAAGAGTCAGCCTTTCAGTCCCGGTCTTATCCAGAATATATAAGGGTTTGAACGAGATTTCAAAAGTGCTCGTTGCTTGATCATGCTCAAACTTGCTTTCCAGCTCATTATGTGTATGGTTGGTTAGCCCATTACTTTAAGACTCATTTTCGTATGCAAAGGGGCCAGCTGTTCCTCTCATGGCCACATGTTCTGGTGAAGGTTGAAGAGAATGCAATATCGGATGTTGAGGTACACCTTACAAATGCCATGATTAAAGAAGAAGAGAAGGTTAGAGAAGTGTCATCTATCCTCCAGTCCCTAGTTACAGTGAAAGAGATAAAACAGAAGCTCCGTGAAAAAGAGAAGAACTTAGAAGCCCTATTAGAAGTTGCTGAGAAAGATGTTGAAGAAGCCAAGTTAGGAGCCTCAACTACTAGAAAGGAGTATGACGCATGCTGCACTGCCTCGTCGACTGCTGATGACTTGGCCGATTTGGAGAAGAAGAAGAAATACTTGAAAGTTATGCTCAAAGATTTGGCCAACTACAAGTTGTTTTTAGATTAGGCTATAAACACTGCTTTATTTATTTTTTCCTTTTCTTCTTGCATTTGATTGTTTAGTATATGTTCTCATCAGCAATAAAACTTCTTTTGCTTCACTTTATATTGTGCGTTCTCATTAATGTTCCCCTTTGTTCTTGACTTTTTATTAGTGCTTTATGGATTTGATGACTTGACATGCTTGCAGACTTTAATTTAAAGAACTAGCCGGTTTGAACACTTCAAATTGATGATGTAACAAACCTGGAAAAATCAACTTGACTTAAAATCAAGGACTTCAACTTGAATACTTAGCCTCTTATTAAAGAAGCTACCATCATTCCATCAAAGACCTCAATTTGACATGGAGGACTTACCCCCATTGAGCCATCAAGACAAGACAGAGGGTTCAATGAAAGAATACATGTGCACCTAATTTTCTAGTGTCGATCAAGTGAATTATATTCCATCATACCTCATTTGAAAAATGCCTTGGGTAATATATATTTTTTGAACTCATATGACTGAACTTAGAATGAAACTCTAAGCTGCCTATGTACCTCGGTGAAGAGGATCAAGTCATTCCGTAGTTCGAAATGGGTGAGTTTTTTTTTTTTACGTCCTAACTTTTGCCTAAGGCCGCCTCTTTTGAGGTTTTCAACCTAGCGGACTTTATTTGGATGCCCTAACTTTTGCCTAAGCCACCTCTTTCGAGGTTTTCAACCTAATGGACTTTTTTTTTCTTTTTTTTTGGGACAGTGCACAGTTTATACTCTTGCGGGCCAGGAGTAACATGCAGTTTATGCTCATGCATTAAGGAGCGTATTTGTTTTCTTCAAGGATAGTATCTCTTCATGAATTTCCCATTGATAGGGCCAATCCGCAAACTTTCTGAGTCAACTATCTTGTAAGCGCCACTTGAGTATACCTCTTGTACGATATATGGTCCATCCCACTTAGTAGAGAATTTGCCCTCAGATCGACAAGAGGTAATAATAGGCCTTTTGACCACAAGAACTTGGTCACCCACTTGGAAAGATCTAAGGCGTACCCTTTTGTTAAATGATCGAGACAGGCGAGCTTGATAACATTCAAGGCTTTGTTGAGCTTCTAGCCTCTTTTCATCAGGAGCTTCCAATTCTTCAAGGCGTAACCGAACATTTTCTTCATCAGTGAGTCCTTCTTGAATGGCAAGCCGCAACGATGGGATTTGACGCTCAAGTGGAAGGACTGCTTCAACTCCATAAACAAGTGAATAAGGAGTCGCTTGCGTTAGTGTGCGATATGTGGTCCTATATGCCTAAAGAGCTTCTTCCATTCTCTCATGCCAATCTCTCTTAGACTTAGAAACAACTTTTTTCAACAAGTTGCAGAGTGTCTTGTTAAATGCTTCAGCAAGTCCATTGGCAGCAACATAATACATGGAGGAATTGCGCTGCTTGAAGCCAAAAAGATCACATATTTTATTCATCAACTTGTTATCTAATGGCTTACCATTCAATATATATCGCGGAATGCCAAATCGATAGATAATATTTACTCGGATGAAGTTAGCTACATTTTCCTTCTTTACTTCCTTAAGAGAAACAGCTTCTGCCCACTTCGAAAAGTAATCAGTTGCGGCCAAAATATATTGATGTCCACCAGAAGACTTCGGCAATGGACCAACAACATCTAAATCCCAAGCATCAAACGGCCAAGAGGCAAAAGTTGGGTATAATACTTCAGGTGGTTGATGTATGAAGTTAGCATGGAATTGGCAAGCTTTACACCTCCGAGCGTAATCTAAACAATCTTTCACCATGGTTGGCCAATAATAACCCATTCTTTTTATGTGGAAATGAATTTTTGGCCCAGATTGATGCGCACCACATACTCCAAAGTGTGCTTCTTGCAAGGCTTGAAGGGATTCATCAGTCCCCAAACAACGTAGGAGCACTCCATCAAATGATCGTTTGTAGAGTGTATTCTTGTAATAAAGAAAATGAGGGGCTCTCCTTCGGATTTCCGTTTTCCTTCGAGGATTTTCCGGCAATATACCGTAACAAAGATAATCGATTAGTGGTTGTCGCCAGTCTTCAATTTCAACCTCAAGAACGGAAGCAATATGCTCAACTTCGCTTTCTTCTTCCTCATAGTCATTTGGTGGAGGAACTACACATCTTTGGCAAACAGCGACTTGTGTCTGATCAGGCAAAGATAATGTAGAAGCTAAGGCTGCTAATGCATCAGCTCTCTTATTTTCCTTTCTCGGCACGTGTTGAATAGTTACCTCTCCAAGCCAACTTACCAATCTTTGAGCATATTTGTGATATGGCACCAACTCTGGCTTCTTGACCTCATAGCTACCCAAAATCTGATTGATCACTAACTTGGAATCTCCAAAAACTTGTAATTGCAATTGTTTGATATCCACAGCCATTTCAAGCCCAAGTATGAGCGCTTGATATTCAGCAACATTATTGGAGCACCGTTGTGTCAGAGTGAAAGAATAGGGCAAAACTTCTCCTTGAGAAGTGATAAACACTATTCCAGCGCCAGCTCCTTCACGATGTGCAGCGCTATCAAAATACATCTTCCAAGGAGGTTGAATTTCTATGACCATTGCATCTTCATCAGGCAATTCATCAGACAACTCCCAATCATCTGGAATCGGATGGTCAGCTAGGAAGTCTACTAATGCTTGTCCTTTTACTGCCTTTTTAGGAACATACACAATTTCAAATTGTTGAAACTGGAGGTACCACCTCGCAAATCGATCACTTAGGACTGGTTTAGACATGACAAACTTGACAGGGTTTGCTCTTGAGATGAGTCGCACAACGCAAGCTTGGAAGTAATGCTTCAGCTTTTGAATAGAGAAGGCAAGTGCCAAACATAACTTCTCAATAGGCGAATACTTGAGCTCATTTGGCGTCATCATCCTACTCAAGTAATAAAGCGCATTTTCTTTGCCTTCATTGTTTCCTTGAGCGAGAAGTGCTCCTACTGACCTTTCCTGTGCTGAAATGTATAATATTAATGGCTTTCCAGGTATGGGGGCTGCCAGTACTGGAGATTTCATCAGATAAGACTTAATGCTTTCGAAAGCATTTCTGCAAGCTTGGTCCCATTCAAAAGGAACCCCTTTCTTCATGAGGTGACTAAATGGTTGGCATCTTCCAGCCAGATTCGAAATAAATCTTCTAAGATATGCCAACTTACCCTGCAAGCTTTTTAATTCATGAATATCATTAGGCTCGGGCATTTTCAAGATAGCATCCACCTTAGCTTGATCAATTTCGATACCTCGATGTCGAACAATAAAACCGAGGAACTTCCCAGAAGTAACTCCAAAAGCGCACTTCAACAGATTCATTCTGAGTTAGTATTGATAACTAGGGATTTTTCCATGTTTTATACTCCTTCTTGCTTACGCTTTGGTTATAAATTGTTACAAAATAGTCCCAAAAGGCTCATAAGTGTGCTTGATTGCAGGTTTTATCGACAAACTGACGAAATGTCAAGGATCAACTCAAAAGGGAGTGAAACCTGCTCAAGTATCTAAGACAAGGCAAACTGAGGATAAAAAGGCCTAGTGCGGCCGCATTCGACTTTGTGCGGTCCGCACCAGGTAGATTCAGAGAAGTGTGTTTTAAGGCAAAACACCTAGTGCGGCCGCAGTCCATTCTGTGAGGTCCGCACTAGGTAGATTCAGAGAGTTGGCAAAACCAAGCTTCAGGCAATGCGGCCGCCATTCATATTGCGCGGTCCGCGGTGAAGGCTCCGCGGCCGCACGACCATTTTGTGCGGTCCGCGGAGTAGAGATTCAGAGAGTTGAAATGTCCAGATTCCAAGCCTTTGCGGTCCGCGGTCATCTTTGTGCGGACCGCGGTAGCTGCCTCCGTGGCCGCGGTCCATTCTGTGCGGTCCGCAGAGCCCAACTTCAGAGAGCCAAGTTTTGAAATCCAAGAGCCTTGTGCGGCAGCGGTCCATTTTGTGCGGCTCGCACTGACCCCGCAGGGGTATTTTTGTCCAGTTTTTACAGCTTAGTATAAATAGAACATTTTACCATTTTTAGGTCATCAGCTAATATCAGAACTGAGCTGCGCTCGTGAGAACAAATTTTGTAGCCATTTTTGTTATCTTAGCTTCAAATTAACGATAGATTCTTGTACTTTATTTAGTATTTAATAAATATGTCTTGTTCTTCATCTATTTCTTCATTTTCTCCTTCAAGCATGAGTAGCTAAACCCATTAGCTAGGGTTGTGGCTCAACCCTAGTGTGGGTAATTGATGGGTGTTGCCATCTAGGATTAGATTGACTATGGGTGTTTGCTATTTGGGTTGATTTTATGCTTTAATCTATAAATTGGTGGTTGCAAACACTGATTTGTGCTTTGAGGATTTGACTCTTCTTGAGAAAGAGAGTCTAAGTCCCCAAAATTGATCCAACAAGGAATTGGGATGGACTCATGAGAAATGATAGTCCCAATTAACGGGTTAAACCTCGAGAGAGTAATCACCCTACTTGAACCCTAGTTGCTCGATCTAATTTGCCTACCCATTTGGTCTCGAGAGAGTCAATTGGGCAAAATCACTCTCTCTACCAAGAGGTGTGAGAGTGGGTAAAACTGTGCAACGGTTATAGCATAAGCCCCAATTATGTCAATCGAATCTTAGTAGCATCTACCCGTCAATTAGCCACCTAGGGGATGTCACGACCCTAGTGCCCTTCTTCCCATTAGATACAACCTTAGCAATTATTTCGTAGCATAATCTAGTTTCAATTAGTAGTTTGATAATAGTAGTTTATAATTGAAAAACCCAAAAATGATAAGAAGATCAATTAAGAGCATACACGCGATTCTAGTCTAGATAGATACCCAGCTCCAATTTCTAGCTCTCTGAGGAATTCGATCCCGACCCTCATATCGGGTAAAAGCTATTGCGACCTTCTCTTCCTACTTAATAGTATCGTGGAGTTGGCAGCGATCAGGTATCTCCGAAGCCGTTCAAATACCATCCTCAAATCTTGCAAGTGATCATCTTTCCTCCTTGACTTTACTACCAAGTTGTCAACATAACACTCCACGTTTTTATGAACCATGTCGTGAAATTTTTTTTGCATGGCACGTTGATATGTAGCACCAGCATTGTTCAAACCGTAAGGCATTACCTTGTAGCAGTATATACCTTAAGGGGTGCGAAAGGCACTAAGTTCTTCGTCCTTCGGTGCCATGCGAATTTGATTATATCCAGATGAACCATCCATGAAAGACATCGCCTCGTATCAGTTGTTGCATCAATTATGAGCTCAGGGATAGGAAGAGGANGACAACTTAATTGCATCAATTCGCTTGATAGGAAGGGTCAAGTCTCCTAACACCTTACCTTTTAGTTCAGAAGATGGATCTTCGACTTTCCTTGCCTTTGGGACATAGCGAAGAACAGGAGTCACTTTCTTACTTGAAGATGCCTCATTCATCTTGTTCCTATCATGAAGCACCTGATCTTTTTCAACCGTAATCTTCTCCTTGCTAGTTGTGACAGCAACCTTCTTTACAACACTTTTGGTCAACATCACATCATCAACCTTAACTTCCTTTGAGACGTAATTCTTTAAGTAGAATTTTGCATCGGCAAAGTATGATTCAGCCTTGGTAAAGGGCTTATCATCAGCAACTATCTTCTTTTCGACCCCACCTTCGCAGTATTTCAAGCACTGATGGTAGGTGGATGAAACCACTTTGTTTTCGTGTATCCATGGCATTCCTAACAAGATATTATATGAGGTTTTTGCATCACGTGCATCCATGCACTCGAATGCAAATCTCCCATATTTATTTCCGATTTGATAGCCCCTATAGCTCTTTGCCCCCCTTAATTGAACCCTTGAATCATCAAACGACTTTCAGATAGTTCATCCATCGGTATGCCAAGCTCTTTGACAGTAAGAATTGGGAGAATATTGACACCAGACCCATCATCGATCAAGATTCTACTTATTCACTATTCTCGCACAAAGCCAACCATAAATAGGGGGCCATTATGGTGTGTTTCACCAAGCAAAAGATCATCATTAGTAAATGTGATTTTTGCATCACAAATGTCCATTTCTTTAGAATTCCCAGTGAGTTTTTCAGGCAAGGGAGGTGGCACCAATGATAGATCCTCCTTCTTTGTCTCTTCTTCATCTATCTTACAACACGAGGCCTTAATATATTCACAGGAAGCTCGCGGGTGTAACCAACTTGGCGAGAATTCCTCCAATGTCACTGGACGACTTAGCCTTTGATAGTGATTCTCCGCCATTTTTGCTTTCTTCCAGTTCTTCTTTATCATTTTCTTCTTGGGTCTTTTCACCATTTTTACCCTAGTCAACTACTTATTTGACTCCTTTTGTGAATTTGTCTTCCAGCGTCTCCGCCGAGTCACAAGAATCCAACCTTTATCATCAGTTTGATCATCACGTGATCGACCTTTCTCTTGAGATCTTTCCTCCACTATTAGTTTATACGCCATAGGGAGAAGCAATGGTTTGCTCACATCGATAGGTTCAAAGTCACCAAATTTAATCATATTTGGTGATGATGCAGTTTGGATGCCATCATATTCATGTACTTCGACAAAATTGCAAAGGACAATGGGATCAAGTGAACCAAAAACGAGAGAGACTTGATTCGAACTGTCTTTCTCATACTCAAGCAAGATTTTTCCTTCAGCGGCCAAGTCCATGACTTTCTCCTTGAAGACAAAGCACTTTTCAATAGGGTGTCCAATCAACCGATGGTACTTGCAATAATTTGGATTATTAGTCTTTCCAGCTTCGTCTGGCTGCTTCATTTCGGGTTTAACTCAATGAGTTTCAACTCAAGGAGTTCTTCAAAAATTGCTGGGACATCGTAGTCCAAGAATGGATATTCTTTCGCTTGCATTTCCTTCAGAGTTAACTTTCGGCCAACTTTATCCTGTAAGGACGTTGTCTTCACACTTTGCTTCTTACTCATTTTTGTAGTGACCTTTAATGGCGAGGCATTAACATTCATTGATTCCTTACTCTCAGACTCCGGCAAAAACCTGCCTCCTTTCTTTATTTCTTGTTTATCCTTCACTTTGCGAGGTTCATAAACAGGTGGACCTTGATTTCCACTTGAAGACATACTTAGCTCCATATCATGAGCACGCGTATCCAATCCTTCAAAAGACTTAGGCTTGAGACCCTGTAGGATGTAGCGAAGTCCCTAATTCATTCATTAGATACACATTTCTATTCCAGAAGCTTCACTAAGTCTGTCTTACAATTGAGGCTCGCGTTCCTCCATCAATTGATGAAATCAACAACTGGTTCATCCTTCTATTGATGCGTATTTGTGAGTTCAACCATACTTACAATGCGCCTTGTGCTATAGAAGCGATTGAGAAATTCATGTTCAAGTTGCTCCCAGCTATCGATGAAACCAGCCTCGAGATAAGTGTACCAATCAAAAGCATTTCCTTTTAAGGAACGGACGAACTTCTTGACAAGATAATCTCCATAGGTTCCAGCATTATTACAAGTTTCGACGAAGGTGCAATGTGTTGCTTCGGATTTCCTTTACCATCAAATTGTTGAAACTTTGGGGGTTGATAACCTGCAGGCATCTTCAAACTATCATTTCTCACAGTGTATGGTATTGCATATGCGAGAGAAGACTTGGCAGCAACATCGTACTTATCTTTGATGGTTCCCATAATGAAGTCTTTCAATTGGTCAATGGGAATAACCCCGTCAGATAAAATCTGAAATTCTTTAGGAGCCGTTGTCTGCCTTGCAGATGAGTCTCCTTTATCTTGCATCATTGGGAGCTTTCCAGGTGCATCACTTGAATCTCCCTCCATCATGCTTTCAACACTATCTGTCAGCTTGACAATTTGATTATCTTGATCTTGCATATGCTTCGTTAACCCTTCAATTGCCTTTGTTAAATTTGCGAGTTGTTCTTCAACAGTTGAAGTATTAGTCATCATTGCTTTGATAACAGTCGTGGATGGTGGAGCAAAGCACGTATTTTCTCTTCCACCATACTTTGAGTGGAATAACTCACGTAGAGTGCTTGGAGCATATCCAGTGATCAAGACATAATCATCACCCTGTGTGATGAGATTCATAGATCTAGAAGGGATAAGTAGAGCCAATGTCTTTTCAACAATTTCAGCAATGTTCGCTCCTTCTTCCAATTCAGTTGGGAAGGATCTTGCCCCCTTTGAGGATTGAAATTCAAAGATAGGAACCGATGCAGACGACATTTGAAATTCTTTTTGTCCCAGCATGTTTGCTTTGTTCCTAGTGACAGGTCCTACGCTTTCCATAGTAGCATCCAGCAAGTTTCCACATC